TGGAAACAAGTTTTCTTAAGTAAAATTAATATAAAAAGAGCACCCTAATCTATGTGTCTGAGACATGTTGTCATGTAATGATGTCTTGGTCTACTCAAATCATAAAAACAGAATCTTATGTAAGCCTACTCAGAAAGAGTATTTTGAATCTGACTCCAAAGAAGTGAGTTTCAGACAATAGTCTTAATCTAATGCAGACTGTATTCCCATCAGTGGTGGGTTATGACCAGTACACCCGGTACGGGCGTACCCGTACCTACCGGGAGCACCAGATACCATTCCGGTATGGTGCTCCGAATGGCCTGTCCACACTCCTTACAGGTATTTGAGGTTTTGGGGGCTTCTGTGCATGTGCACGGAGTGTATGGTGCCTGTATGATGCTCCGCCAAGCAGCTGGAGCATCACGGAGGCGTCGTGGAGTTATCGCGGAGCATTGCGGGCAGTAAGAATGCATGTGGTGGACGCCCTGCCCCGTTGCACTGTACCGGTTGCAACAGGATCCAGAACCCACCACTGATTCCCATATGGATGTTTTAACACGTTTGAGGAGCATTTATCAACTCACCCCCTGTCATCTTAAAGCAAAGCAAAGAAAAATCCACAGACCCAAACTGGGGGAAATAGATATTTTCAGACCTGCTTATATCTTTGTTGGGGCTTCTGTCTTTCCATCCTGACAACTGTTGCAACTTTTTAAATGAGGTCTTAAGGGGCAGCAAATCAGCACTGAATTCAGACCACCATTGGCTTCTGCTAAAATACTTGTCTGTCTTGATACCTCATTCTTAAAACCAGAATGTTGGATATATTCAGACTTTCCACTTTCTTGGTTGTTCATTCAAAACTAGGTTATTGTCTGACTTGCAAAATCTTTCCATTTTGCATTATGTTTATTTGTCAGGGAGAGCGAAAAAATCTTGTTAAAAAGTCAAGTCCTTCAACTTGGACAATAGTCAAAAGACAGGATTAAACAAAAAAGCTGAGATCAATGCATAAAAGGTTCTTCTTTCTAAAAGGAAAAGTGCCGGTTTTCTTTCCCCATCCAACCCTGCATGCTTAGGAATAAAGAGGATAGTGAGCCTTTGAAATAGATGAAATGACTAAGATTGTGCAGAGATCTTGATTCAAAAAGGAAAAGTTAATTGGGAGCAAGCAGGGAAGTGCACACCGCAGCTTTTGGTTCCTTGTTGTCTTTAAAGAGTTACCAACAGATGTGATGTGGACATCAGCATGCACTCTGAATCACCTTTCCCTTTTGAATCTGGTTCAAACGCTCCATCTTGTATTTATAATCATTACTTTGTTTCCTGCTTTTACTCTTCCAGGAATGCAAGATAATCTCTATGGAGCTACCCCATTTTATTTTTTACAAAAGCCTTATGACTAGGTTGTATGTTATGCATTTGCACCATATCTCCATCTTTATTCTCTTGTTTAGTTTCTTTATATCATCAGTATGCCATGTTTTAAAAAGAGGAGAAGGGGAAAACCAGACATCAGAGGAAATAAAGTCATTTTATTTAAATAATTGAAATTTCTCAATAATAAATATGGAGCACCACTTCCATATTCTTTTTATAGCTCCTTTATACTCCGAGCTGTTAGACTGCAGAGTAAAAATGACATGGCAACAGGGGCTTAAGGGGGTTTAAAGGAGGAATTCCAGGATGACCAGGGTTCAGAGAGCTTTTGGTTGAAGGAGCTGCAAATGTTTAGCTACAAATATACACTGAGTCACAGTGGCACAATGGTTAGAATGTAGTATTGTGGGTTAACTCTGCCCACTGCCAGGAGTTCGATATTGACCGGTTCAAGATTGACTCAGCCTTTCTTTCCATGGTCAGTAAAATGAAGACTCAGATTGTTGGGGCAATATGTGGATTCTGTAAAACACTTAGAGGGGATTGTAAAGCACTATGAAGCGGAATATATCTGTAAGTGCTATTGCTATTGCTACAAATATTTAAAAAAGCAGTCATGCTGAAACTGGCTGCAGGATAAAGAACAGTGGGCTGAAATAAGAGATTCAGGCTACATATTAGGAATTTCCTGATTGTAAAAGTCATAAAGCAGTGGACCAGTAGTGGGTTCCCCCATGCAGGAGGTTTTCAGGTGGAGTCTGCATCAAGTTGTCAAGGATGATATAGTAGATTCCAGCACTGAATAACAGAAAGGACTAGGTTTATCTGTAAAGTCCCTTTTAAATATATAGTATTGGTTTTATTCCTGCTGCTTTAATTGGAAGAGTATCTTATGATTTTAAAGTGTTGTAAGCTCAGATGAACACATTTGGGTTTGAGAGGAAGCATTTACATTCATTAGAAAAGAAACGAAAGGTGGCTTAGAACTCACAAGTTAAAACGGGCAAATTTCTTCATGGCTACAGGTTGTTTGGAATATTTGCAGGGAAGAATCTTCTCAGTGGACAACATGATGGTGCAAAGAACAATAACAACTATATGAAACCAGTCTTAGAGCAAAGATTGTCATGTTTATGCATTTTCTGATAGTAAACTACGCTACCAATCTTTGGCAATTGTGGTTTAAGTCAGTTCTGGAGCTGCAAAAGTGTTTTTAAAAAGGAGTTAGATGGCATCTACTATATAAAATAAAGTAATAGCTACAGAAAATATTCATGGGTTTTTTTTTTTTTGCTTATAAAAGTTATTATTAATAGTTTTGATGCTTTCTTGCAGGATACCTCAAGATGTTTGACATTCCAGCTGGTGCTAGGCATTTACTTATACAAGAATCGGATGCTACTGTTCACAATCTGGGTATGTATCTTNAGAAAGAGACAGACAAACAGACAGACAGACAGACATAAAGATACAGATATATACAGATGCAATTATTCTGTAGGTAGATTCACTTTCTTAGGCTTCTGAATTCTGTTCCACAAGCCAAAAGAAATTCTGATTGTTTCTTTATTCCTTTTCTTTTCTCCTTTTTCTCAAGCAAAGTGGGCACATTTTTCTTTGGAAACCCATTCTAGAACCTCTTTCTGGAAATTCACTTTAATGGAGCTATGGTCAAAGAAAGCAGCTACAGAAAAACAATCAATCAATGTAGGGCTTACTGTCATAGCAAAAAAAAAAGCAAGGGATTTCAAACACACACAAATATAAATAGAGCATATGATGAAGGGACCACTTAGCATCGGCCTTACTGTGTTTTGTCCTTACCAAAATGTTGAGTTCAGGTAGCTATTGGGGTTCATTTTGTTTTTGTTTTCTAAGCTGCTGTTTCTATATGTTCACATACTTCATAGAAATATAAAAATAGTTATTGGTTTGAATGTTATCTGAGGCCATTAATGCTACCATACAAAGAAATATTCCTTCCCTGCTGCTTACTATAAGCCCATGTTAGCTAAAGCCCTTTTTCTTACTTGCTGTTGTGAAAGCTTTTCCTCAGCCCTGCAATTTAATTGTTCAGAATTTCATTTATAAATCACAACTGAGAAAGAACTGTAGATTTCAGCTGTTGAAAAATTACCACTCTGATTTTAATTAAATAAAATCCATTTGTGTAGGGTGTGGAGAAACATTGTATTCTACTGATGTAATATGGGTTTAGCTTTCTCTGTTGCATATTATTGTGAATACAGTGGACCACATCAAACTATGCGTTTCTCCCAAAACTTGCCTATTGCGTGTAGACAAGCAATAAATAACCTGTCTTGTGTAACAATTATAGTGATGAATTAAGTTTAGCTTTTCTCGGATTCTTATTTTTATAAATCTGCCAGATGAAGGTCAACATTTAGTTTCAATTTTTGTTGTCATTAAACTTGGGAATTATTTAGCTTATGTTTCTCCAAAGAGAAATATTTGGTGATTATATTCAACTTTTAATTGCTTGAAAAACAAATAATGCATTTTGACATTATTTTTGAAGGATGTTTTCTGGGGCAGCCATGAGTTCTATTCCTACCTTACACATGAAAATCAGCTGGATGACTTTGGGTCAGTCACTCTCTCTCAGCCCAGCTCATCTCACAGGGTGGTTTTTGTGGGGGAAAATAGGAGGAGGAAAATGTGTTGGATATGTTAACTGCCTTGAATTAGTTGTAAAAATAATAAAGGCAGAATACAAACAAACAAACAAATGTAGTCCTCAACTTACAACAGTTTAGTGACTGTTAGAAGTTGTAATGGCACTGAAAAAAAGTATGGCCATTTTTCACACTTATGACCTTTGCCGCATCCCCATGGTCACGTGATCAAAATTCATACCCTTGGCAACTGACTCATATTTATGACGGTTATAGTGTCCTGGAGTCATGTGATCCCCTTTTGCGACCTTCTGATAAGTCAGTGGCAGATTCACTTAACAACTGTGTAACTTAACAACTGCAGTGATTCACTTAACAAATATGGCAAGAAAAGTCCAAAAATTGGACAAAACTCACTTAACAAATTTCCCCCTTAGCAACATAAATTTTGGTCTCAATTGTGGTCATAAGTCAAGGATCATCCGTACTACACTTTTCACATGTTTCCCTAGATGTGCTGTTGAACTGGCAACCTGCTTTGAAAAATTGGGGAAAAAAAGTGTGAATTTTGAATAAGAAGAGCACTTTCTTTTGTCTCCATTTTATTGTTGCTCCATTGGAACATTTGTCTCCCAGCAGTCCTCTAGGTCTACCCAGGGACATAGTGCAATAAGGGCAGGTTTTATTTTTCCTTCTGGACATTCAACTACATAACTGAGGAAGCTATATCTGGGTTACAGATGGGTAGGTATGAACTGACATGCAATGAACCAAATCAAAAGCAAAGCATCATAAACTCTAGCAGCATTTTTTCCAATGGCAGCAGTTCAAACATCTGAATTTGAATAATATATGAAAAATGCATATATGAGAAACCAGTGGTTTCTTTTGGAGTAGTATTTCTTTTTAAACAGTAATTCCTTTCAATCTAGGTCCAGTTACCAAGAAAACGAAGTTGATGAATTTCAAAAATATGCATACCTGTATATTTTTCTCTTTTAGCATTGTTTTAAAGGTCACTGTATCTGGTTAACTCCAGATATCTTGAAGCAAGATGGAAACTGGGGAGCATGGAGTAAATTTGGTTCCTGTTCCCGAACTTGCGGAACGGGAGTGAAATTCCGGACACGCCAATGTGACAATCCACAGTAAGTTGAACTTAATCAGATTATGCTCTTTGATAATGGATTTTGATTTAGATGTCTTCAATGGATTTAAAATAATGTTGTTAATCTATCACAAAATATTTTTAAAATTGCTTAGTTAAGATTAAGGATTAAACCAAGTTATAATTCAGAGCATTGCCTTGGTCTGGTGTTTGCTTCACTGCAAACGTACTGGAAAGATAAAATAGAACACATCACACAATATTGTGGCAGACTGTATTAGGGCATATAAATGCTATGTCATTTTCTTATTGTCATTCCTTTTAAAAGAATTAATTTGATGATTTTAAGGTGTGTAATTTAACAGAATTCAATGTTTGTGCATCCTGCTTGGGAATTCTAATGAATGAAAGTAATAGTAATGCAATACATTTTATAAATGAATATTGACTATGATCAAAGGTAACCCTGCTGTTGTTTCCCCAATCAGTGTCTTTTTTTCTAATAGGCATTCTGCATCCAAATTTCTAAATATTTTAAGATGCAAATTATCTATTCACTTCGTATTAAAACAAAAAGAGACTTAACTGGATTTTGTCTGTGTGTAAGATTTCCTTTTCTAATATAAGAAACATATATGTGAGAGTTTGTTGTGGTGGTTGACTGAAATAATGAAAAAATAAGTACTTTTGTTTCCACTAAAATGTCCTGTAAACTTTAAGATCAGTGTGCCTCCAGATTCAAACTTATTTCATGTTTCGCAAGGCAATTCCACTGATTTTACTGGAAGAAACAAATTTATGCTCAATAGATTTCTTCGTACCATATCTGATCACAAATCTGTCATCAATTGTTCAAAATGAATCATGAAATCGTTTTATAAGAATCATGTTTTTGTGTTTACTATTGAAGCCAGGGAAGTTATAAGAGAAGCTTATTTTTGCCAGACAGCCAATTGAGCATTCAGGGACTTAAAAGAAATCAGTACCACTTCTGGTACTATTAAAAGAAAAGAAAAAATCATTATTATGGATTCTTCATGTAAAGTAACAAAATCTAAAAACAGCACAAAAGGCAACATGAGAAAATACAGTGGTAAATTAAAAGTAACAAGATAAATATTTGATGCATAATCTCCTTAATAAATTACAGTAAGATTTAGGAAGTTAAATTATCCAAGCAATAAAGAAAAATTTGGACCGGGTTCTTAACCTGTCAGGGAAATATTATAATCGCTTTGAGTGCTGCATTAAAGGTTTCATAGTTAATGTGTGTCTGTGTATGCAGGTATGTCTTCTATTCTACAAGATGATTATGAATGAAATCCAACTATTCTTAACTGAGTCATACTTAATCTCTTTTAACTGCTGAAAACTACCATGAATTGGGTTGACTGCAATGGATACATAACAATAGCAATAGGACTTAAACTTATATATCACTTCACAGTGCTTTACAGTCCTGTCTAAGTGGTTTACAGAGTCAGCATATGGCCCCCATCAATCTGGGTCCTCATTTAACTAAGGATGAAGACTGACTCAACCTGCAGTCCATCAGGATCAAACTCAAACTGCATTACATACTTTAGAAATAATCTTTTCCTCTTTTTGTTTGCTTGATTCCCCACATTCCTACTGAAAAGTCCCTTCTGTCTACTCCACAAATTCCCAGTGTGTCTTTTAAGGTTATGTAGAGGCTGCAGAATGGAAAGGATAATATCTCCTAGCTTTGCTTGCAGGATCTCAACCTGCATTGTGTCTCACCCACAACTATTTCAGCATTTATAGAGGGATGCTAAGTGTTTCATATTTATCTGTATATTCCATAGGGTCATGTTGTAGATATTGAGGCTAAGAGTATGCAACTGTGCCTTCTACCTCATACATGTTCAGATTTTGGAAATCATTGCAAATTAATCTTGGAAATGAATGATAAATACGTACAGGTAGTTCTCGACTTACAACACTTCACTTAGTGACTGTTCGAAGTTACAACGGGACTGAAAAAAGTGGCTTATGATGATTTTTCACACTTATGATCATTGCAGCATCCCCAAGGTCATGTGATTTACATTTGGATGCTTGACAACTGATTCACATTTATGACTGTTGCAGTGTCATAAATCACAGGGTCATGTGATTCCCCTCTTGTGACCTTTTGACAAGTAAAGTCAATGGGGAAACCAGATTCACTTAACAACTGTGTTACTAATTCAGTGATTCGCTTAACAAATGTGGCAACAACAATAGTAAAATGGGACAAAACTCAATAAATTTCTCACTTAGAAATATAAATTTTGGCTAAATTATGGTCGTAAGTTGAGGACTACCTATAATAAAGAATCTGTGGCATTCCAGACATTGTTGGACTTCTGTTATTGAAATTCGTGAAGTTTTCTGAGCAGAGTTCATGGTAATTTGAAGCCAATATCTGGAGAGATACCACATTTCCAGCTCCAATAAAATGCAACCGTCTATTATATTATTGATCTAGAATCATTCATTAGTATTCTTTTTTCCCCTAGCCCTGCTAATGGAGGCCGCACATGTTTTGGGCCAAGCTATGAGTTCCAGCTATGCAATAACCAAGAATGTCCTGATGGTGATGATGACTTCAGAGAGGAGCAATGCAGGCAGTGGAATCCCGTTTTTGAATATCAGAATATGAAGCATCACTGGCTTCCATATGAACATACTGATGGTTCGCATTTCATTTCATTATTAGCAGAGCAGACCAGGATAACTCTGCCCATTTTCGAAAACTGGAATGTCCTGTATGCAAAAATACTGCAATTCATTAGTACTAACTTTCAGGTCAGGAGGTAGCAATTAGGCCCTCTTTAAAACCTATGGACTTCAACTCCCAGAATGCCTGAGCCAGCCATGTTGTCTTAGGAATTCTGGGAGTTAAAAGCCACAGATTGTAAAGGGACCATAGTTGCTCCAATCATACTGTCAAGTGCTTCTAGCTGCTTCAGAACACAGCATTTTTTCAGACAGATGAGCATGCACTTCTTAGTAGGAACTTTTTAGGCTGCAGTGTCACTCAGATTATCCATTGTACTTTAATTGAATTAATGTATATGTTATGCATGATTAGTGTAACATATACTAATGTAAAAGCAAATAAAACCATTTATAGAATTGTATTTTAAGAATTTAAAGCAGTGGTGGGTTCCTACCGAACCAGTAGTAGCTTGGCGGTCTGGGTCGCTGGAACCGGCAGCAACTCAGGCCTCCCACGCCCCCAAACCGGTTCTCCTAGCACTGCCATAGACGCCGCCATCTTGTTTTTTGCTTCTGTACATGCACAGAGTATTTTTTTATTACTCTGCACATGTGTATGTGCGCATGGTGCACCAACAAGCAAACTGGCAGTAGTGACTGCCGTAACCCACCCCTGGTTTAAAGGAATGCGGTTGCTCAGTGGCTAAGACACCGAGCTTATCGACCAGGAAGTCGGCAGTTCAGCGGTTCAAATCCCTAGTGTAGCATAATGGGGTGAGGTCCTGTTACTTATCCCAGCTTCTGCCAACCTAGCAGTTCAAAAGCACATTAAAAATGCAAGTACTTGGTGGGAAGGTAACAGCGTTCCATGCTCCTTTGGTGTTAAGTCATGCCGGCCACATGACTACGGAGATGTCTTCGGACAGCGCTGGCTCTTCGGTTTTGAAACAGAGATGAGCATCGTCCCCTAGAGTCGGGAACAACTAGTGCAAATATGTGAGGGGAACCTTTATCACTACCTTTTATTTTAAGGGTTAATCCATTAAGATGGTAGAATCACTTTATCTCACTTCATGCCATGCAGGGCTATTGGAAATTCAATTCCCAGATCTATACTCAAGATGGCTTTGAGATTCTGCTAACTAGGAACTCTGAAAGAGACATTATGCCTGACAAGGATGAAGTGGGGAATCTGATACAAACTATAAATATTCCCTATTAAATATTTGGTTTTAAGTATAATCCCAATTTCTAGAATATGGCTCAAAATTTCTCTCTTTGGATAAGTTGCTTAGAATTTTTTTACCTCACCACAAAACTTCTATTGAATCAACATTTACAAAATGATCTAATGAGAAGATAAATTACCCCAATATTTTCCCTTATAGCTAAAGAAAGGTGCCACCTCTACTGCGAGTCCAAGGAAACTAATGATGTGGTATATATGAAAAGATTGGTACATGATGGAACACAGTGCTCCTATAAGGATTTGCACAGTGTCTGTATGCGAGGAGAATGCCTGGTAGGTTATATATGTTTCAGGAATTTCTTTTTCCATTTTTCTATCTGTAAGAGTAATATTAAAATTATAATGAGCTGTGTTGGCGCAGTGATTAGAATGCAGTATTGCAGGCTGGTTCTGCTCACTGCTGGCTGCCAATAGTTTAGCAGTTTGATTCTGGCCAGCTCAAGGTTGACTCAGCCTTCCATCCTTCCAAGGTTGGTAAAATGAGGACCCAGATTGTTATGGGTCAATATACTAACACTGCAAACTGCTTAGAGAGAGCTGTAAAGCACTGTGAAGCGGTATATAATTCTAAGTGCTATTGCTATAATGGGCTAGTTTTTCCCCTTCCCTGGCTAATTGCTAAAAAAAAACCTATAAACTATAGAAATTATATTGAAAGATGATTTTAAAAGAAATCAGATGTGTAGTACTTTACTGTTTTATTAGAGGTGGCAGAATATTTTTCAGATCATAATATTTATTAATGGTGAACTTAATCCTNTTTTTAAACATTTTCTAATGGTGGTGTGCCTCGTGATTTTTTTCATGAAAAAAGTGTGCCTTTGCACAAAAAAGGTTGAAAAACACTGCCTTAGTTCACTGTGTCCTCCTAACTAAAACCTGAAAGGGACATTTAGATATTTCTTGGAAAGAGTAACTATTTAGTTCTGCTCTGATTTTAAAGAGGAGTTTCTCTATGGAGGTTATTTCTATTTCACTTACTGTAGATCAGAGGGTACCATAGGCTGAGCAAACTGTCCTCTGATGCTATTTGTGAAGCATCTTGAGCAATTCATTGCTGGGAAATGGAACTGGAAAAGTCCAGAGTTTTGCAACACATTTTTAATACTGATATGATTATCATGCACTCTATGATTATTACAGATGCAGAAATAGTTAAACATTGTTCCTGAGAAAAATGACTCTATTGCTTTGAAAGATTTACAGTGGCACAACAAACTGTGATGTTATGGCTTTCATTCTTTTTTATATGGTACTTAGCTGACTATTGAATTGTTGGCAAAGTAGCAAATTCATTTCTAAGACTTATACTGCTTCTGTGCCAGCTTTTGCTAACAATACTTGTTTTTGTAGTGACTCTCCCTGCTGGATTTCATGTTAATTGTTTGGAGCATTACAAATAGATGATCTTATTTGTCATAAAAACTAGAAGGAAATTCTGTTCTCTTATGTCTGGCATCTACATTAGGATAGTTCAATTGCAAAATTATTTTACGTGTCGTATTTTTTAGAGTTATGTAAAATTCAGCTCTGATTTCTAAGTGCAGGTTGTCCTCGATGTACGACCACAATTCATCCCAAAATTTCTGCTGCTAAGTGAGGCTGTTTTTAAGTAAATTTTGCCTCATTTTATTACCTTTCTTGCTAGAATGTTAGGTGAATCACTGCCGTTGTTAATTTAATAACACGGCTTGTTAAGTGCATCTGGCTTCCCCATTAACTTTACTTGATGGAAGGTTGCAAAAACTGGGACTCTGAAAACCATCATAAATATGAGTCAGTTGACAAGCACCTGAATTGTGATCATATGACCATGGGGATGCTCCATAAATGGCCATAAGTGTGAAAAATGATTGTAAATCACTTTTTTCACTGCTGTTGTATCAAATGAACTGTTGTAAGTTAAGGACCTCTTGTATATTTGAACTTTATATATTTATAAATTTGTCGAGTTTATTCATTCTTCTTTAACTGAAATCTTTAGTTTTCTCTCTTATCCTATCATTTAAACATAAATCAATCAGAAAAAGCATTTTTTCCAAGGGAAGAATTCTTTATAATTAATTCCAAAATTTTATTTCAAACTTATTTGAACCCTGTAGCTTTCTAAAATTGAAGTGTTAACTAATAATCTTCTGATGTTTATCTTAATATATTAAGCTTGTAGTTAAAACTTTCTTTTGTTAAAGCAGGGGTGTCAAAGCCGTGTCTTCATGAAGTTGTCATGTGATGTATCACAATTTTTTCCCCCTTCACTAAACTGGATATGGGCATGGCCAACGCATGACACATCTGGCCCTGCAGGCTGCAAATTTGACACCCTGAGTTAAAGCATTGAAGACAAACTTACTTGATGCTTTCAAAGTTTCTGATCCAAAGATTTCTAACAGCTGATAAGGAGTTAACAACCAATTCCTTCTGTGCCTTAGTAGTATCTCCTTTCATCGGGCCAATTGTAGTTTGAGCAAGATGATTATTTCCCTCATTTCTCACCGCGCAGGACCTGCTGGAGACCACTATTTTGCCGTCCCTTGTGTGGAGCACTTGTGGGCAATCTTTCCCCTATCCAGAGAGGTTTAAAGAGCTGGTCTACTCATCAGCTCTTTGTTCTTCATCACAGTTGTCAGCTCTGCTTTTCATGGAGCTGCCTTCAGTCCACTATTCCTCCTCTGCAAGTCCCAGACTCAACAATACTCACTCTCAAAATATTCATGCTAGATAGGAGGACATATATATTTGACCATTATATATTTGACCATTGTTTTTCATTGAAACAGATGGGTGACAGGTGACTGGGAACCTTGCAGCAAAAGTTGTGGGAAAACAGGATATCAGGTGCGTTCAGTGCGATGTATCCAAACATTGCACGACAACACAAACCGTTCTGTCCATACCAAATACTGCAGCAGCGATCGTCCGGAGGGCAAGAGGGTTTGCAATCGAGAACTTTGCCCTGCACAGTGGTGGATTGGACCCTGGTCACAGGTAAGCAGACATTTGAATCATGGTTCAGTTTATACATTGATTTCAGTTGAAATAAATGGAAAAGTTTGTGTGGCCCTTTGGTTCCTTTATCTTGGGAGTACAAAGTGTAATACATAGCATAGATGTCATGTTTATATAACAACATGGCTCCATGTTTGCCTTAGAGTCACCCAGAGACTGTTGACACCCAAGTTTAGAATGTTGGAAGAAGAGCAACAATAGTGTGATTGTTAGCACTAAGTATGCACGTCCATGTGTGCATGTATGTATAAAGATGAAAGATGTAAACCAAAAATGCATTTGCAAAGGAGAATCGGAAGCCCATCTTTCTTTCTTTGTTCTCCAGTGTTCTGTAACCTGTGGTAACGGCACACAAGAAAGGCCAGTTCTCTGCAGGACAAGAGAAAATATTACTGGCTTTTGTAAAGAAGATAGGCCAGAAACAACAAGGCTCTGCAGGCTACCTTCATGCCCTAGTGAGTGTACACATTTGAAAAACTCTTACTTCTTTTCTTTTTCTCTTATCCTCCCTCACTGCCCTTCCTCCTCTTCCTCCCCATCTTTTCCCTATTTACTTTTGTATTTTGTACCTTATTTTATCTTACAACACAATAAAAATGATAAACTGGGAAAACCTCTTGAGTCTTCTGGAAAGGCAGGGAAGGGGAAGGGCGAACTTGTGAAATGTCAACAAACTAGAGAGATATAGAGCCCATATTCCCAGTATTAACAGCTTTACCTTTATTGCAGCCTGGAGAAGAAATTTGAAAAACACTTCTTAAAGAAGTCTGATTTGGGAGAGGTGGGCTCACTGCAGATGATTTTTGAGGAGGGGGATGCTAGCAGGCTAACATGAAACATTAAAGAAAGCCAAAGTGTTGAGAATCATTCTTGGTGAGAATCTAGAAGCATTGTTTCTTCTTTGTCGATGATAATATTTTTCAACCTTGACAGCCTAAAGATGTGTAAACTACAATTCCCAGAATTCCCCAGCCAGCCATGGCAATTGAAGTCCACACATCTTCAAGCTGCCAAGGTTAAGAAATATTGATCTATGAATTATCAGAAGCTCACACATCATTTTGGACTAATCTCAGATATTGAGATTAGTCGATTATCACATTTTTATTTTTCTCACTGCTTTTTTTTGTGTTCTCTAGTGCCTCAACTTCTATCTCTTCCAGTCTAGACACACAATGGTCCACAGTTGCCCTCCCTAGAGGCATTGCAAGCCCTAGTCCACTCCTGTTCCTGTCCTAGTTGTTCAAAAGTAACCTTTCAAAGTTTTAATTGCACACCTAACAGCCAGAATGTGTGAAGAAATCCTAAAATGGAAGTAAACTTTTCTAAAAACATGTATTCACTGTCTACGTTTGTACTGTTAGCCTTTCTGAAAGCATGCCACATTGTGATACATCTGAACAGAAGGGCTTAAATGATTAACTTCATTAAAACTAAAAACACTGGTGTTTTTCTAAGTATAGTTTTGGCTTTTAAAACGTTTTCCTTTTTGTGATTAGAATGGGGTCTTTTAATTCAGCTTTTGGATTGTAAAATGTTCCTTAAAAGCTACAAAAAGTGCTCATATTTTTCCCCTCGTTTCCACCCCAAATCTTTCTTTCTCCTTCAGAAAATTCATCAGATACATCCAAGAAGACCTATATGATACAGTGGCTGTCGAGACCGGACACAGATTATCCCATCCAGAAAATATCTTCAAGTAAAAGACCCATTTATAATTCTGCCTTTGCTTTTAGCTGCATGCCACATCAAATGTGGACTTTGCCTTCTGCTCTATTCTTTTTCCTATATGGAACATTTTCTTGAATCTTCAGAGTTTTATCTTGAGAGGAATCTTTTTCCCCCCCTGCACTGGGTTGCAGTGTCCAATGTCTTACTTCTCTGGAGATTGAGCAGCCCTTCATTGCTGCAGTGGAGGTCGTCAAGGGGTTGGGTGTATGAAGCAGAATATCTGCAGTTTGTTGTAAGTCCTCTAAAAAGTGAGCTGATGTCGGTTTGCTTGTTGGTTAGTGATGGTGAAAAAAGGCTCTTAACTGGCTCATGATTTGAGTTTGATGGTGAAACTGACAACTTATTGTGAATGTGATCGCATCACAATAATGACAACTTGTAGTGCTAAGGTTTTCCTTTCATCTAAAGGTCCTTTAACTCATGGCAGATGAGGTAGGTCAATGTTTTTGCAGGGTATTCAAACAGGACAAAAGCACCCATCCCATCTTTCTTTATAGTCTCATTGCTTCTCAATCCATGTGTCACAATGGCTTTAAAATATGTGTTTGTTACCATGAGAAAAACTTATTCTTCAGGAAGATGAGACTTCTTTTTATATATAGTCCATCAAATGCTGCTGCTACTATATACTATGCTTCAAAGGAATCTTCGTTTGGTTTATATTTATTTCCAAAAGTGGAAAAACACAATTTGATCAGAGTGTACCTTATGTTCTTTTTTTTTTCCTTTGAAAAAGCAATTAGAAAAACAACATGGCAGAACCTGTACTTATGCTACAAGTTGTGGTGTGCAGTATTGTAATTTTGTCGAGACAATATGGCATTGACACACAGTGCAATGTCAAAAGTTGTTCGGCAATTAATTCTTTATTCATCATTACATTCATCAGTCTTTTTTCACCATGTGCATATTTGGCTTGACTGTTCAGTTTTTCTATTTGTGTGTGTGCGTGTGTGCGTGTGTGTGTGTATGATCTATAAATGTGTGTCAACTGGCAAGCATAATAGTGTGAACTACAGAATTACCTCAATTTTTATTGATTTGTTTTATTTTGCTTAGGGAAGAAGAAACTATGTTTAGAAAAATGCCTTAAACTTTAATTGCATTGGCATTAATCTCCAGTTCCAGCTTTAAATACAGTGTACTGGTATCATGAATTGATATTCATGTACAGAGTGTTTTACTTGAATGATTAAACACTGGAAGGAAATTTGCACAGTCCATGTAGGAGAAAGAAAAAGGATCATTACCAAATTGGATGAAGAAAAATATTTTGCAACACTTAATTTATTTAATTGCAATTTATTCCTTGAACAGGCTTTGTATTGAAGATCTAAAATATATTCTCCATGGACCACTCATGTAATATCAAACAATAGAAAGGCATTAGTCCTGGGGTATCATAACAATCTTCTTGCTCTCTTTCTGCTAATATTTGAGATACCTTACAAAGGTGACCCTGTGGATTTTGGCAATGTAGCACTTCAAAATGGTCATTATCATGTGATCACATATTTAAATTTTGCTGTTGTTATTATTTCCCGCTGCAACATGTTAGTAATTACACATGGCAACATAAAAGGCAAAGACGTGTTATCTGGCTCTAAATACTGTTATGTAAAATAATTGGTGTATAACTGTTATCAACTTACTTATGACTGTTAGTTACCTTTCAATAGACAACTGTTAAGTGATGTTTGACAATATGGGTGGCTCTAGAGAATGGTGCAATAAGATACCTGGGCATCGTGCGCAGTTCTATATGCACTTTGGTTTATCAGGGATATTTTATCAGTGTTTTGTATGTATTTAACACAATATTAAACATGTGCCAATTCAGTTTGCTGTTCAATATTTTCTATCAGGCCAGTTGAAATGTGTACCAAAGTGATTGTACAAATAACTATTTTTTTCTTACTGCTGAGTTAAAAGAGATAACTTCCAGTCTGTTATGCGTATTACAAAATAAAAGATTAAAGTTCAGCAGGTCTGGCAGTTTTGTTGGAGGAATAACCACCTATATTTATTCTGATATATAGATACAAGTCACAAGCTTAAGACAAACAATGTAAAGACTTTTGTACCTTAGAATCAAGAAGGTTAAGGTTGCCTTTGTGCATGCAAATGGCTTGCAAACCAGGAAGCAATTGGTGCCAAAATGAATTTTGTTGCATCTTTAATCTGTCACAAATCTTGTTGATGCTCCATGGCTAACCCCGACCCCCACCCCACCCCACTAAGGAAGTAAAGAAGATGCCTTTCTATAAACTCTTAATTATAAATGAAATACATAGTAACAGCATCATAGGAGTCATTTCACCTGACTCTGTATTTAATCTACATATTTCACGTATTTTACTGTGGAAAATCAAGCATTTTTCTAAAGCTGTTTCAACAGGCACCTTGAAGCCGAATGTTTCTTTAATTAGTTTGAAAATTATGCTTAGTTTTAAATATATTTGGGGGGGGGGAAATCAAATATAGGTCATTATTTTGCCATCTTTAAATATCTAGACATATTTAACTCTACAGTTGTTAAATTAATAGTTTTATATATAAAACATGTGATCTCTAACCTAAAGAGTTCAGGCAATTATTTCCCTTGTGAAACTGAACTGGAATTATATTTTATAAAGTCAGCACAAAATCAAATAACAGCAACAAAAGGTATTTATTTATTTCCCATAAATATCTGGGAACTTTAATTTTGTTTCATAATGGTGCTGTACATCTAAATTTGTAAAAGTATTAACATATGCTAGACTGATATGTTTCCCAATTAGACACACTCATGCCCTATATTTTAGAGGATGAGTAAAGAACTCAACGAATATTTCTGAATTAGAGTGGGCTGTAATTTGCAATGCAGTTAAAAGGCTATCGGCCCCTAACCCAGAGGTCCTCAACCTTTCGGTCACCAGGGACCAGTTCCACGGAGAAAGGTTTTTTCGTGGACTGGAGGGGGAGTGGTTTTACGTGCTGCCTGCATTCCACGGTTTGGGGCTTTGCTTGTTTGTACGGCCTTGTTTCTGGCATGCCATGGCCCGGTGCCAGTCCATGGACCAGGGTTTGGGAACCCCTGCCCTAACCCCTGTGCTGCCATATATGCATGCAGCTTCCTTCTAAGTGGCCTGATGCTACTGCCATACCATCCTGATTGTTATACATTTACAAAGATGCATTCGAAATTTCTTTCTTCTGGAGCACAGAAAAACGGTAGAGTTAGCTTGCACACATCCACACAGCACAAACTACACTCCACCACAACTTTAACAAGAAATGATTTGTAGCATGTATATCCCAGATTGTTTAAGCATCAAGACATTCACGTGGTATGTTGCTCCCAGAAATTAAAGTATGTATATCTGATTTGACATTTTCTTGTGCTGACTATAGTGAAATGATTGGAGTTATATCAGAATATTGCTCTACGCTTCATAGCTCCTATTGTTTTCACTGAGGCAACTTTTGAAAACTTTCTTGTTGTGTTCTACCATAAGAGAAATTTCAGCCCTTTAAAATATGCTTCCTGCATTTACTGCTACTTAACTTAGTTTTCAGATTGCTCCTTCTCTCTCTGTCTCTCTCTGCAATGCATGCTTAGACCTAGTTTGACAAACGAGGTTTCTTATGTAAACAAGGACCTTTAAGGTTTTTTTTTAATGCTTTATAAGCCATGAAGAACACTGATATTTCTTCAGTGTATCTGATCCCTGGAGTTATCCTGCTCTTATTTACAGTATGGTAGAAAAAATGAATAAACAATTAAAGCAGCAAGCCCATGTTGCAACCAGATGCAGTACAAAATTAAATACCATGTTAACTGTGCATCCAAATTAATATTATCACCAGATGGCAATATGGATGTGTTCCTTCTCTTCCCATCTGGACAGACAACGCTGCAAAACTCAGAGTTGGTTTTGCTGCGTGTACAGGCACTTGGTCCCTATATTCATCCAGCATTTCAAGCTAACCTCTCGCTTCTTCAGCATATTTCTTCATACAAAGAGATGACATTAGCACATCTCTCCCTTGTTTTCTTTTTAAAACTTTCCTCATTTTGAAGGCATGATTAGGCACACATGGATGTTGAGATAAGTGCATGAATCCTGCAAAAAAAGACAATGCTAGCTTTCAGAAGAAGTGAAGTTTTTGAACTTGTTTGGGAGTTTTTGTAAATGTTCAATTCCCTATGACAATGAAAATATATACAGGTATTATTACCAGTTACTTAACGGCTGGCCAAAGTTATGGTAGACCTCCCCAAGTCTGTCTCCCAAGTTCTTAAAATTTACAACTCAGATTTGAACTTCAAATGGCCTCCATCCCTTCCATGACCACATGAAAGTTTATGATGTTTGTTTGTTTTTGCTGGAAATTGGGGTTTACTTCTGGTTTCTGGCAAAAATGCCCATTGTGGGCAATGGATTCACTTAACAGCTGTCATGTTCACTTACAACCACAGTGATTCACTTAATGACCACTGCAAAAACATTGTCAAATTGAGTGCAATCACATGGTGGCATGCTTAACAACTGGCATGGTTTTTATCTGTAATTCTGAGCTCAGTTACAGTCATAAGTTGAGGATTACCTGTATTACCTTCTCTTGATGCATCAGTTCCTACAATGGAGGATTCATGAATTATCTAAATATAGTGTTAAGTGCTTCTTTTAAAAATGATGGGATCTCAGTTATATAGTGGACAATCTTTTTCAGAAGGTGAGACAATCAGTTTAGAGAACTGCATTGGTTCTTACCTTTAAGTAGTTCCTGACTGAAGGCTGCTTAGTAACATTCCAGCAATGTATAGAAACTCAGAAAATGGTGCACTCCTTATAGACAAAACATTCTGTACATATGCCACTTGGATAATGGCATGGTATATTACAGGGTGGGGCAGTGGGGTAGTGGTTACGATGCTGGGCTTATCAGCTGGAAAGCTGGGCCGTCCAGGATCGAGACCTGAGCATCATGCAACAGGATGAGTTCCTATCCTCACCCTGGCTCCTGCCAACCTAGCAGTTTGAAAGCATGCAAATGTGAGTAGATTAATAGGTACCATTTTGGTGGGAATGTAACAGTGCTCCATGATGTCATGCTGGCCACATGACCATGGAAATGTCTTTGGACAGTGCTAGCTAAATGGCCTTGAAACAGAGATGAACATCACCCACTATAGTCAACAACAACTAGGGGACTAAAATCCACAGGGATTCCTTTAGCTGTTATGATATACTATGATAACCCAGCATTGCCTGGGTATTTATTTATAGGGGGAAAATGTCCAGACCAAATGTAATTCCTAATGTTGGATTTTCCCCCTTACCAGAGAGAGCCCCCTTGTGGAATACTGTGAAGCCATTACCATGGCAACTCCACTGTGCTGCACAGTAGAAGCCATTTCACAGCAGTACAGTAGATGCCATTTGAAGGCACAACAGGCTGTATCGTAACAGAACACACACCCGAGGGGTGTTAGAGGTGTCTTGCCCCCACAGTATTTGTTTCCAGAGAGTAAGTGATCTGAATGCCAAGTTTGGTTGAAAGTTCTCAAGGCACTCCAGAGTTATGCTAGAACACACACACACACACACACCTTTTTATTTACATATATACAGTATATAGAGAGATTATTATTATTATAAAATAATAGAACCAAAAATAATGAAACCCAGTGAATTTGCTTCTTTGATAGCAATTTATCTTGATGTCATGGTAAGAAAGAAAAAGAGAATAATTTCAGCTCAGTGCCTGTTATTACAGAGTCAAAACAATACCCAAGAAACCTTTTGGGAAACAGTAAACTCTACCCTCCACATCAAAGACCAATGAAGATTTAAGCGTACTCAGTGATGGTATAATTCTCAGTGACTTGTGTAGGTACTAGTTGAAACTTTCAACTAGTACTATAAATAGTATAGTGAATGGGGTCTTTCATTATCATCATTGCCAATGCATATTTTTCTCCAGTGGTTAGTAATAAAACAATGAAGTAATAAGTCAAATAAGTGCAGGTATGCTGGTGTGTAATCTGTGCTAGGCCAAATATAGTAAGTAACCTCGTTTGGTCAGATTGACAGAACATATGAAAGTCAATGAGAAAGCTGCTTCTTATATAAATAATTTTCATTCACGGATGTACCATAGTCAAGACAAGCTGTTGACGTGAGCTTAGGAAAACCCAGCATATAACTAGGGTGATCCAGATGACATGTGGTTCTAACATATAGTCACTATCATACCTAAACTTATCCTGTATAGCAGGGATGTCAGATTTATTTTCAGTGAGGGCTGCATCAGGGTTGTGTTTGACCTCGGGGGGATGGAGTGGGTGTGGCCATGGTGGGTGTGGCCAGCTCAATGTCATTCGTGTTGGGGGTGCCTATGGTAGCCTGAGTGCTCTGCCAGAGAAAATGGGTTCCCAAGCTCTGTTTTCAGCTACAACAGCCTCCTGCAACCCTCTACCTACATTTTTGCTGGCAGAGGCATGGTGGGACAGTCCTTTGCTGTTTCCAGGGTGGCCCCGGAGGCCAGATCTAAGCACCTCATGGGCCAAGGACCTTAAGTTTGACACCCCTGCTGTATAATTTTAACGTGTGCTTTTGGGGACCCACAAATGTACATCACTCAGAAATTGTCACTGTGTTCCCAGTTGAAAGTTGAATCAGTGCATAAAATTTATTTTTTATAGCTTTAGATCACTGCAAAAAACATGAGAGAGCTTTTAGTTAAGAGCACATATAATACCTTATTTATGTAAGGGCCCCTTAAGACCCAAGTTTACTTGATTCTGTTTCAGATGTAAAGCATACACTTAAATTTATTTTTCTCTTCCAGCAGAACATTGCAAAGAAGACAGATCAATGTTTTGTCGCATGGAAGTTCTCCATCGGTACTGTACCATTCCTGGATATAATAAACTGTGTTGCAAGTCTTGTGGTATGTACGCTAATGAAACAGGGCATGACAACTCAACAGTTAATGATATTGAAGAGGACTTCACTCCCACGCTTGCAACATCTGTTGAAGATCACACACCATATAGAGCAACAGGTCCACCAGATGTTGCCAAGGTAAATATCTCCAGTTCTAATGTAACCATAGAGCAGCCAGAAGGCAACACAGTGGATGCTCCCTATAAAATTCATCAGACGGAAAATGAAGTGCCTCAACACAACATCATCTGGAGGAGGAGATCACCATATGAAAGGACAAAGAACCAAAGAATTCAGCAGCTGATTGCAGAAAAAAGGGAAAAAGGAATGCTCAGGGAATTGCATTAAATTGGAAATATAACTCTATATACAGATATATATTTTCTCTCTTATAGAGATGTTACAGTACTGCAGTATTGCCCATGCCACCCTAGAGACTAATTTTTTTAAATAGCGGTGCTATGGCAGAAATGCCTAATGCTACAGCTTGCAATAAATAGACATGTAGGCTTATTTAATTAAAGAAAAGATAAACAGCATAACAAATGTTAGGTTACAAATATCCACTGAAAATTGTACAATAGCATCATAGCTTAACAGCTATGCAGCAGTGCTGCATGCAGGTAGTCCTTGTTTAAAGACTGTCTTCTTTAGCAACTATTTGTAGTCATGACGATAATAAAAAACATCACTTTATAACAAATCCTCATATTTATGACCTTCACTGTTCTATAAAGCAAGAGAAATTGAAGTAAGATCATAGGCATGGTTGCAGTTTCACTTAGCAACCACTTTGCTTAATGAGTTGCTGATCCCAATTGTAGTCACTAAACAAGGACTACTTGTAGTAAAGGTCAGCAGAGTTGTTTCTTTTTATTTTCTATCTTGCTCCACCTCTGTGTATGTTTGAATCCAATGGAATCTACCTGGGTGATACTATTTTTATCAAAAAAAAAAGTCTTATCAATTGATCCAAAATACTTAATAAGCCTACAAAACAGCCTATAGAATTTCAGTAGCAAGGAAGTATCTGTCTGGTTTTTTTTTTAAATGATTGCCATTTATTTGAATAGCTCAAATTGTTCCGTGTACAACAACTTTGATATCCATTGTGCTGAACTCAAGTATACTAATCTTTTCATTGAATTCAGAGGTGCTACTTTCACACTCAGGGATGACAAAAAGTCTAACTGGAGTGTTGAGGAATTAATTCAATCTGATTTTGGGAGCCAAGCCCAATTGATTGCAATAACCACTTGAAAAGCGCACTTGGTGATATTATTGTATAAAATCCAGCTGGAAAAGTAATGTTCTTCAGAAACAGTAAAAGAACATTAACGAAAGAGTTCTAAGTCTATCTCTGTCCAACTATCAAAGTTTCCCATCTCATTCATGAAGAAATAATGTTAGAGCCATAGGTGCATAGGATGTTTGACTATGCGGACCACATTTCATCTTTAAAGAGTATGCTGGAGAGCCAGAATGATGATGGGGTCAGGACAAAAGAGTGGGCAAGGCCAGGAGAAAAATTCAAAATTAATTTAATGTACAGTATATACAATCAAACTGCAAGACAAGATGATTCCCAATATATTTAATCGTTTCCCTTTCATTAGCTTAAAAGTGACGTGCTGGAAACTCTTTTATAAGAATGCTGGGAACTGCACCCAACTTTTCACAGGTGTCACGAGGCTGTGGACCTCAAGATCTATAGCTCTGACTTTAAGGATTGCAAGTCCCTTCCAATCACTGTGTGACTTTTCAACGTCTCACAGACACACACACACACACAAACTCCCTTTCTTATTTATGATATATCAACTCCTGCATCATCTTCAGCAAATTGTGAAGAAGCCCGAAGGAGATACTTGGTGGTATCGTCAACCAAATGCCAGGCTTACACACTTGAGTCCAGTCTCTGATTCAAATATATAAATGGCAGCAATTGTGTTGCTGTTGCTCCAGTCTTGTCATTTCTCTCCTTCCCATTAATGCCCCCACTAAGCCCATCAACTTTAGGTAGATTACCCACGTACTAAATCTAACTCCACTATAAAAATGTGGTTTGTATTGTACATTTAAAGAACTAATTTGTAATACATCTTGTAAGTGTTTTTAATATACAAATTTGTCTTCTAAGAGTGTGCTCAATCCACATATGTTGATTTGAAACGCCATTCAATAACTACAGACAATAATCACTCCGACTCAGAATAAAACGAGGCTGCCCAGCTTGATGCAGGCTTATTCTAAAGCTAGAATAAGCCTGCATCAAACTGTATAAGTGCAGCAAAAACGAAAATCAAGGTTTTGTAATTTTTTGCCAAAAGTGATTAACTTTATAGGCACAGTGGAACCCTCTAAGAGTGAAGCTTATTCAATTTCAAAAAGAGATGCAGTAGTGCTCTTTTGTTTGTTTTTAGTGTCAGAATTGGCAAGCAATATCTAACATTCATTCTTATTTTGCTGCGATTCTTACATAAAATACAAGCTTAAGGTATTTGTTTAAAGAAATGGTTAGATGATACTTCATTAAAACAAGTAATGTTCTCCTTTGGCAAATATTTTGATTTGGAGATCTCTTCAAAAGCTTACAATGAGCACTCGGTGGTCTCCAAATTGGTGTAAGCAAGGATTTCTACTTGGAAGTCCTCCTTATGAAGTCATCCTGTGATTAGAGGGGAGATGGGACAGTCTCTTGACTCTGCTCTCCTTTCCTTCTCTTCCACAATTTGGTGGTTATGGAAACAAAACAGCAGATTTTGTAAACAGCCTCTGTCTCCAGCAACATGAGGCACTCATAGACACTCTGGCTCAAATTGACTTTCCTTGCCTGGGTCTTCTTTGACCTTAATCGCAGATTTGGCCATGATTGGGAATTTATCTGAATCACATGTGCAATCCTCATGACCCCCCCCATCCCATGAATCACATTTTCAAAAACTATTTGAAATTAAAGTGTATACATTACCTCACTGGAAAGATAGCTGAAATAATCCTAATGTCACTGTTTCCCCCCTCCCCGCGCGGCCGAATATCTGCATTTCATACTCTTAAAAGCTTGAGGTAAAATGATTGCTTTTATATTCAAATCTTAATGATTTAAACGACTGGATTTTCTTTTTTTTATTTCAGTTGGTGCTTTTTGTCTGAAGAAAGTGTAGCTTTTGTTTATGTTCTACCTATTGCACATATCAACTGGGGTAGTGAACAATTTGTGCTATCAGCAGGTAATTAGGTCTACTGTATTATTGCAGAAGGGAACAGATGTCATTATGCATACAAATGCATAACAATACTGAATCTGCTTGGATTTTAACCTCTGTTTGTCAGCCCTTTGAGGTTTTCTCTTGCACAGCACTTTCTGAAAGCGTGCATGGATATCAGCAGCATCATGGGTATGTTACTGCTCACTTGGTTTAAAGAGAATGCTGCATTTATTCATGGGTAACACATCCTCTCCCCCAGAATTTTTTTTAGTAAATGCGCTTGTGAATATAGTTTTGGTTTGATTATAGACCTTTTCACCTGCCAACAAAATCAAGCAAGCAAAAAACATTTAAAGCCATCTTGATGGCTAGAGAGTAGGTATCAGCATAAACTGGTAGCAGGTTTAAAAACAGCTTACCTCAATGGTTGGTGAGAAAACCCAAGGATAGGCAAATAGTTTGCATGCTATTCTCAACAACTGATGATTCTTTCATTACATTCCTGGACACTTCCCCTGTTGATTGAACTGATGTACTTGTTGTCTTTATCTGAACAATGCATACAAAAGAAATCCTTTGCTGTCCTTACCCTCAAAATCTAACTAAAGAAGCACCTGTATTACTGCAGGTTTTAAATAAATAATCACTGAAATCTGCTCTTTTTGTTTCTTGGTTTGTTTCTTTATTTTATTTCTTTGGTTGGCTGATATTGCGCCTTTCTTCGAGTAGCTGAAGGCCCCTTACTCAGGAGTCTCAATTTTATTCCTGCTATAATAAAGTTGTGAAGAAGACCAGGCTGAGAGAAAATGATTGGTTAGGGTTTGCTTAAACAGACCAAACTTTTTGTATTGCATACAACTTGTATCAGTGGTGGGTTTCAATTTATTTTATCATCAATTCATTCATGCGCACCTGCACACTCACACAAGGCTTCTGGGCATGCCCAGAAGCTTTTGCTCATGTCCAGAAGCTTCTGTGCATGCCCAGAAGTATCCGGTAGCTCCGCCCACCCACCACTGCCACTACTGGTTCGCCGGATATGGGGCGAACCAGCAGAAACCCACCTCTGACCTGTGTATAGGGATTCACATTATAGCCTATTGAACGAGATCAGCCTGGAGGCATCAGATAGCCAGGTCAGATAGGTGGAGATAAAAAATAGCAAATGCTGAACATAGGCAGAATCTGAAAGTTATCAACTTGAGGAAGTTAACAGACAACATAGGATTGATTCCACATTTGAGCAATGTAATAGCCCTTTATCACGTTTATTTGTCATGTTCCAATTCCAGTCATTTGCTACACATCCTGGCATTTGGACATGTATTCTCTTAAACATCAGAAGACATTTAATCATTTGAATGGTACTCAAGTAAATATGGCTGCACTCTTGCACAGGCTTCTGCATATATATATGTTCTCTCCAGGGGTGGGTTTCAACCGGTTTGCGGCGGTCCCTGCAAACCGGTTGGTTGGCGAACCCGGAAGTAAGTAACTTCCGGGAATGGCGAAGGGCCCACCCGCCCGCCCGCGCTCCTTACCCAGTTTTGACGAGTTCTGCGCTTCCACGCATGC